CCGACATATCCACCGATCACTTGTATAAGACTATACACGACGCTGTCGTATGTCTTCAGGAACTGGAGAATGAGTCCAAAGAAGACGATGTCTTCAACGGTAATCTCATATTGAATCCAATTTTTACGTATAATGACTGTCAGGATGTTTGACATTATTAATGACAACAACTTCTCTCATATGTTTAATATTTGTTATTTATTCAGAAAATTATGTGTCTAGGTACTTATTTCAAGTTAAATGTTTTCTCATAAAATATCTGTCAATAAATCTCAAATGAATGTTATATTTATGAAAATATATGTTTATTGTTTGCGTTTATACTAATAAATCTATTTTTAACTATACTTTTCGATGTCTGACCAAAAACTTGTGATAAAACTTATTTTTGTGATAATAAATACATTTTTATTATAAAAACTGTTTTATATGTGAAACACAATTTCCAAACTAAGTGTCACTAAAACTAATGAATTAATAATGTCCAAGGTAACTGTCTGTGTAATTAATTTGCAAATCATTTCAAATACACCAGAATTCACGGGAAAAAATAGTCCACTGTTTATGAGACCCATCGCACAGAATATGGGCGCTAATCGACACACCTATCAAAGCGACTCATCGCTAGGGAGTCCGCATCCCAGCCCCAAACCCGGCGCCAGAAATGGATTCAAAAAGGATAACCTATTCCTCTCGTTGAGACCCAAGACCACCACTGACTACGGCTTTCCCAATAGACGACTGTCCAAAACACTGTCGGCTCAGTCGTCGCAATCGCGGTCCACACCGGAGATCACGACGATATACCCCCTGAAAGCCAATACCCGGGACTCCTATATCCGTATGGATGGCGGCCTCAACACCACGCCTCCCAACTCACCCCGAATATCGTCGGCGCCGAACATCGACTTCCTATTCGACTTCGACTTACCCTCCACTCCGTCCTCCCATTCCAGCCAACAGTCCCTACCCTTCAGCGAACCCATCGCTCACACCTCCAGCCATACCGTCCCTCAACCCCTGCCCCCAATCGCCAGCAATCTATACCCCACTAAACGAAACGCCCCGAAAGCACCGGCACCTCCACCACCGGTAAGATCGTCGCCCATACCGGTGCCGCCACCCCTACCCCCGCAACAAATACATGAAACACCGAAACGTTCAGCTAATATACCGGTGCCGCCCCCACCACCACCTCCAGCACCCCCTCAGCCACAAAAGTCGTCGCCCACCCGTTCCTCGACAATACCAGTGCCGCCCCCTCTGCCACCCGAACCCGACTATAACATGAGCCCCAAGTCTAAGGGAAAGCCTACTCAACACAAACATAATGC